ATTAAGTCGTCCGTGCTGCTAGCCAGAACTGTTGTGCTGTGGTTTTTCCTGAAACCCGATTCGATTTCAGGAATGATATCATTAGAGAAGACGTAGTCAGATACCTGACGTTTCATGGCTAGTTCTAATAACTTGGAAAACGGCCTCAGATGTGACTGTCAATGCATGACCGTTTCCATCTTCAAAGAAATATGGCCCAAAAGTACCGCTAGGCGTTGTTGATGTTTCTCTTTTGGATTCATTGGTGCCCAGTATCTGCAATTTTGCTTGTTCACATAACCGTTTAAGTGAAAAAGGGCCTCGTCACTGATAACAACGTTTTCGAGTCTGCGCTGCGTAGGAAAAAGGTTCAACATCCGTTCAGCACCAGATTTCCGTAATACGTAATGACTGTCGTTAAAGCACGGACTGATTGGATTTTATAAGGATGAAAAGACACTTTTTTCTTCATTATGTCATGCAGTGTTACCTAGGGATTCCCAAAGCAGCAGAATGCTTCTGTACAGAACACCGAGGATTTGCAATGACCGAATCACTTACGCGACGCACATTTCGGTCGATAAGAAATTAGTTCAGTAAGAGTTGAGCCTGTTCCACTTGTTTCAATAAGTTTTCACTTGGGGCATCTCTTGGTCGACGAATCTTGTACCGTGTACAAAATTTCCCAGGGCAGCTGCGTATCAATCAGCACTCTTAGAGTAAACCTCAATAGGAAAAGCACTTTGCGCTGCGGTCCAACGTTCCGTTGTGACTATTTAACCCGCTCGCCGAACGCGTCGACATCTTACCTTGAAATATGGGAAATAAGAGAAATGGGTTACAGATTAAAAAAGACGGGTTGCTACTGGGACCTATATCTATTGTGACCTCTTATATGCACTATCTAAAGCACTGTCCTCAGCCTTGATCCTTTAATCAGACTCCATAAATAAACCCTGTATCACAAACGAATCTCACAGAGCAAGTTTTGACATGCTCCAACGCGACTCGGCACGGGTTGCCCTGGATCCAGGTACATAAAACATTATTTACAATTGTTTTGACATTAAGCAAAAAAGCTACTGTATATGCAAAAAGTATAATACGTGGTTGATAGCACGACCGTTTTTTACCACTAAGACAACGTAAACCATAAATCCATCTTTAGTAACACTTTCAGTAGGTAGTAGGTTTTAGATCACCATTCAAATACCTATTTTTTGACCTAGACGTACGTTCCTGTTTTCATGGAACGTTACTCGTAAATCCGTTCATAGACGAACATAAATATAATTGCGCACTTTCTTCTATCGGCCGAACAGTCGAAAAGAAATGTCCGGTGCATATCACTTTTCTTCGAAGCAAAACCTATAAATTTGAATACGAATGTGTGTTAATGACTCCGGCAAAAACAAAAGTTTCTCTAGTACAAACAACGCCGAGCAATTATTTTAATTCTGACACGATTTGGTCACTGAATTTAAACAATATTAAATCCTAGTGCTTTCTCGTCTCGAGCACCTACCACACCACGCCGGTAGGTGATATTTGAAATAATGTGATCTGTTTTTGTGAGGCGGAATTTGTCCGGATATATGTACATCATATAGAGCATAGAGAATACGAATGTTTTCTTGTATCAATACATAGGATTTGCGACCAATGCATTAATAGTGTTTAAATCTATACTCTAGGCGCTGAAGAAAGAAACTAAACCCAAACAAATACACGCATATTGCTCGTGAGTGAGTGTTTGGGCGCAGGAGACATTACAGGACCGCATCAAGATATTATGGGTAGTCATCAAAAATTTCATACAAGATAATTATTATCTTTTACAGTAAATTTCAGTTAGAGATTCACAAATGAGTTAACTACACTTTTTAGTTATTAGTAAGTAAGCTGCGCGCACTCATTCAGAAGAGGAACTTGAATCTTCTGAATCGTTTAAATGAATTATTAGAGGTTCAATTTGGATATCGATGACATTGTCCCAAATCCCACATTTTGACCTCAACCTTCTCCCGAACGTGGCGGATACAGTTTTTCCATTCCTCTGCCGTAACTCTATTGACTGCGATGTGAAGAGATTTTTAACATCAGAAAATTTATAAGTATTATTATTCGACGCCACGTATTGCTTTATGTTGGCCCAAATCAGCTCAATAGGGTTCAGCTCACAATGGTAGGGGTGGCAGTCTCAAGACAGTTTATTTTGTTTTTTGGCCATTTCGTCGATCATTTTAAAATCGTATTTGTATTTATGTTTATTGACTATACTTATCAATTCACCCTTGACCATTGTTTCATCAAAATCGATCTGTTTTGAGGCCAAGCCATTGTGTATGTTTGCTTTTTTAGTTGCCATTGTGGCACTTTTTTCTATTTTTCTAGAATGGTACGGGGCATTATCCAGTACAATAACAGCGTTATTCTCCAGCTTTAGTAACATTTTGGAGAACCAATTTTCAAAGGAATTGCCGTCCATCTCCTCATGATAGTCCCCTGTCTTTTTTTATTCAAAGGCCCACAGTGCTTCGGGAACAAAGCCGTCTTCACTACCTACGTGACAAATGATCAGCCGTTTGCCTTTTCCTGGAAATAAATTATTCCTTACACTATGGATTGATTAAATTTGAAGGAATGAGGCAATTGAGTTCATTTAGCTGAATTTAAGAGTCACGGAATGCTGATCAAAAACTGAAAAACGTAGAAAATTGAAGTTTGCAACTTCTCAAAAAACCCATTCAAAGCAAATTGACTGCACCCAAAAATGATAATAAATTTCAAAATAACGCTTAAAAGAGGGTCGAAGTTTTTTTCCTAATGACTACACTACGAATGCACCATTTTTGGAGAATATCACACATTATCTGCTATCACAGCATATTATTTGCCCGAATTTATCAAAATTAAATTGCCGGATAGATGAAGGAGCTTACCTGCAGGATTTTTCAATCCAGCCGAAAGACCGTCTAGAAAAGCCTGCCTTGATGATGTTACTGATTTGTCGACCCAAACTTTCGCTTGAGTATGTCCAGCATTCACCCACGTTTCGTCCAAATAGTAAATTTTTCTTTTTTCATCGCGAAACTTCCGAATCTTCCTAAGGTATTCCCTTCTCCACACAACAATTTCTTCTTTCTCTATTAACATACTGTTTTCTTCCCCCTTTCAAGAATCGAAAATTAAGTTCCTTCAAAAGTTTTCGGAATGTGGTTCTTTTAAATGATGGAAGATCCTCATCAGCATTAACTAATCTTAATATCTTATCTACTGTAGGTATCTCATTTCGGAAGAAAAAATTATGCACTTTCCTCCTGATGGCAGTTCTGTCAAAGTCATCTACTCCGTCCGTTATCCTTTTTCTTGCAGGATACGGTTTTGGCTCAGAAAGTGAGTGAGTGCTCCTATATTCCTTAATGATCCTATAAACACTGGACCGACATACTCCAGAAATATGTGCTACCTTACATATAACTTCGTCCACGACCAAATCGGGTTTTTCTTGAATTTGGTTTTTGTTTATATTTTAATATTATTTGTTTATCATTTGCACTTAAATGTAGCTTCTTAGCCCTTTTTTTGGGTGGGGTTGCGCTGATGTCAACCACTTCGTCGGCTGTATCTGTGTCAGACATCGTATCTTAGGCAATATATAAACAAAACGTTCCACTCGCGAAAAACGAGTATACGCTACTGAATACGTAATGCGTATGCAATGCAATCCTGTGCGTGAATTAACTGTTAGATGCCTGTCGTGTCATCTACAATCACGTTTACAAGTCCAAACCTGTGCAGATTCGTAGAGCGCCGACGACTGCTAGTGACCTTGAATTTGTCTGTAGATCGATGTTACTCCAGTCAATTTAGGTTCAAAGTGGATGTTTTCTAAACCAATTTGTTGTTCCTACATCAAAAATATATCGATGATGTTTTTTACTGGGAGCTCATGAAAGATCAAGGTAACTTATTTTAACAGTCATCATTTTTCTAGTCTCAAGATGACACGAAAAAGGGTCTGTGGATTCACTAGAAATACACTGCCGAGGATGTTTAGACCTAAAGTGACTGGAGTATATCCGTGGATGCTTTCGAGAGATCTGTTCACGTGCTGATCACTGTTTACGTTTAATGTCTTTCTTCAGCGCCCAGAGTTTAGACAAGTTTTTGTGGTTAAATAATAATAATAATAATAATAAACCGTCTTTTATTTTCAAAGAAAATTCAGTATAATATAAAAAGTATAATACCAGTGGCGAAGTCTAGCTGACTGCTACTCAACTCAACCAGGGGGGAAGCACCCAATAATCGGATAATTGAATTTGTTATTAAATAATATGTAATTACATATGTCAAAATCGATGAGGTAGACAGAAAAAGTATACATATGATGAATAACACAGAGCAACACAGGCATTCGTAGTAAAACAAACATGTACAGATTATGCTTTTAAACTTTAAAAACTATACAGGGCGTACCAAGAAACGAACAACACATTCTATGTTAAACAGATCTAGCCACACTTTTGATATCAATATTGCTTATATATAGGCAAAAGTACACTCTTATAACTTAAAATCTCAAGCTTTCGAAGATTTTTTTTTCTTCATCGTCTGGAGCTGAAAACAATTATTAAAATAGCAACTAATAGTAATTTAATAATTGTTTCCTGCTCCAGACGATGAAGGAAAAGAAATTCTTCGAAAGCTTGAGATGTTAAGTTATAGGAGTGTACTTTTGCAATACCTTGCCTTCTACCCAAAGAAATTAAAGGCAATTAACTATGAATACTCTATATATACAGGGTGTCCGCAAAGTTGGGGTTTGTAGATCTTAAAAACATAAGCAATTTTGCTTAGTACCATATACACCAATGTCTTAAGGGAACCGAGATAAAGGGCTTTGCAACATCAAAAATATCTGAATACCGTCTGTAGCCGCGACATCACCGACTGGTACAAGGTCACTGGCTCAACCCGACGACAGAACTGGGTCGGGGTCAGTGTGTCAGGTCAGTATGCAACCTTCAACCGACGGTTACGGTCACGCGTGTAGAGGTAATCGCTTAGACGAGAATCCCTCAACAAGCACTAGAGACGTGGCTAGAGAAGTGCAAGTATCAAAAACTAAAGTGTGGCAAACGCTGCGTGAAGAGGGGCTGTATCCGTTTCACGTCCAACGTGTACAAGCCCTTCAACCTGACGATTTTCCAGCAAGAGTGCGGTTTTGTGAGTGGTTGTTGCATCAACATGACAATAATCCGGACTTTTTGAAGTGCATATTGGTGACAGACGAATCTACGTTCACGCGTAATGGAGTGAATAACTTTCGCAACACTCATGTTTGGTCAGTAGAAAATCCGCGCGCTGTCCGTCGGCACATTTTCAACAAACATTTTCGGTGAATGTTTGAGCTGGCATGGTGAGTCTGCTCGGTAGCGCATCAGCTGATTCATTTTCTGTTGGAGCGGTATGATTTCGGGCAGAGACGTACTTAGCCCTTCTCGTCAACTGGAGAGTGAGTACTTTTTCCTTTATTTTTTTTACTTCGTCGCCCTCGTTTCACTACACATTACCTTTGTTATTTCAAGGGTAGTTGTTTTCTGAAAAGGAAAACATCAACTTTGCGGACACTCTGTATATACAAAATTAAAGCTTCCGCCTTTTGTTGGGTACTTCGACAAAATTTAAGCAAGGAGGACTCTTTATACTTTTTTATTCTCTCTAGCTTACAATAGTCTTTGCCATCATCATCAGGAGCTGCAATTACATTGATAACAGTAGCAAACAATAGTGTAAAATGAATTTAAATTAACTTACAGTAGTATGTGAGGATGTTGCTAACTGTTGTTTACGTTAAGGATGAGGGAAAACACCCAGTAACATTGTGCAAGCTGGATAAATGGTACAATGGTGAAAATTATATAAAATATACACAGCTGTATGACAAGAACAAGTTAAAAACAGATTAAAATTTTTGGTAGAAAATGAAAGTTAAGCATTACATCGTGAAGCCACTTGATGATTGCACAAAATGGTGGGCATGGAATAATAAGTAAAGATGAACCTTTTGACAGATGGCCGAAAGTTAGCTGTGTCTGTGTAGAACGATGGACCGAAAATTCTTTTTTGGGCGTGTGCTACGTTGCCAAATCACTTCAGATGGTGTGATTTTCAATATGTGGTTGGGTAAGAAATTGTCAAACCGACCAGAGGCAGTTGAATTACTATATTTTTTTAGATGGGCAATTAAATTAACAGTAATTATTTAAATATAAGGAAAAAGTTATGATTACTACATCAAAGACTCGTTTGAAGTCTCTCTCCAGTTCACAGATTGCCAATACCACCCGATCCACACTATCGCCAGTCTTGATGTGGTGAAATATCTTGTGTTCCTTAGATTTAATCTTTCCAATTCATCGATAGATCACAGCTTTCTAATAAAATCCTCCTTAGAACAAGTTGAGAAGAAGTAGCGTATATATACAGGGTGTCAATTAAGAATGTACCATAAATTTAACAGACGTTTCTTTGAGTAATTTTAAGACAAAAAGTTCCGCAAATTCTTCGTTCTCAAGATTCGGGGTTATTTAAAAGAAAGTTAAGTTTGTAAAAGATGGTTTTTTGGTGAATTTCTTAAATATTCTTCTTTGGTTGTAATTTGGCGGTAGTATTATAACATTAAGGAGCTAATTCAGCTCTAACGTGATTAAATTTATCAAGTCCAGTGGCGTCGCGAGTGGGTTATAAACGAATATTTGTGACAAAAATATTATTGTGTTCTTTGGGTAGCAAATAGAAATACTTCTTTGTCTCTTGAATGTTTTTCGTGTCTTGCTTAGTTTTAGAGAAAAAATCTACCTATTTGCATATACCTGGACCACACAAGGAATATGGGGAAAAACTCTTTTGGAAATTATTATTTTTTCATAATTTTTTATTACTAATTATGTAATTACAAATAACTAAATAACATCAACATCTAGACTAACAAATTTCACTAAATTGTGTTGAAATAGCCCCCTTCGGATTTAACACAACCCTAGCCGACTCTCCTGAAAATATCTGGCGTATTTTTTTATGTGACATGAATTAATGAATCTATTCGGTAAATTCTCTTCAGTCTCAATAGAAATTTTATATACCAACGCTTTAAGGTCGTCAAAAAGAAAACAACTAAGGGATTCATATCAGGCTTGCGAGGAGGCCATATTTATTATTATTATCAATATTATTATTATTATTCATTGTTAAATTAAATAGGGCTAGAGATCATTCTTACTTCCCCGGCCTACTCCATTTTTTGTTGACGTCTAAATGAAGGGACATCCACTAATATAAAAACTGCCATTATGATCTGCGTGTGTACAATGTTGCACATTGACACCAATAAATTATTTGTCTTCAAAGTAGACGTATTCTCTTTAGTACGAAAGCTCTCCCAGCCGCCACGAGCGAACCAGTGCTTGGATGAGGCTCACCGGCCGTAATTGTGATCGAGATGGTTCGGAACAGCTCAGTGTTGCCACTTGTAACATAATTATCAAATTGTACCATATTTTCTACTGAAATATACAGTAAATAAAAAGATGTAACATAATCGATAATTGTAACATATTATTTTTCCATCTCCCAGCCTATAACTATGTTTTCAAAATTATTGGTTCTAATTGTATGCAACCAAAGCAACGTAACAAAAAGGATAATAATTATTAGTGCTGACCTCTTTCAGTTAATAGCATGGTTATTATGGAATTAGAATAAAAATCAAGCCTACCGCCATCTATGTAAGTATTACGGAACTCGAGTCTCGGTGAATTTGAGCCTACGCAGGGGAATACCCTAATCCTCATTGTTTCTTTTTCAATACGAGCAAGAGTAGTTGATCGAATGAGTCCTTATTAATGTGTGTTGGTGTGATCAAATAGTGAAATAAAATGGCCAGTACCAGCAAACGGGATCATCATGATTACTCCGATTCTTCGGATTCAGAAAGGGAGGCAAAAAGATTAAAGTTTAAAAACGTAAACAGACGAGAAAATAGACCACAAAAATATAGATGTGAATGGGAAAGCAATCCTCATTTCAAAGGATGGTTGAAAGCTGTTAAAGGTAGAAAAATAACATAAAACCATTTTATACTTTTAATGATATGCATTTTTGTTTTAGAAAAACCTACTCGAGCAAAATGTATTGCTTGTAATAGTGAAATTCAAGCAGATTTAACTGTATTGAAAAATCACAGTAAGGGAGTTAAACATTTAAAAATGTAAAGGTGATTGTAAAAAATCAACCAAAAATTTCTACTATGTTTTCTAATAAAACGAAGCTAGTGGTCAAGTGAGTAGGGCAGAAATAAAAATTGCTGCATTAATATCAGAGCATAATCTACCCATCAAGCTGTGTGATCATCTGATTCCTTTATTAAAAGACATATTTCCTGACTCGAAAATTGCCCAAGGAATGCAGATGGGAAGAACCAAAGCAACAAGTGTTATAAAACATGTTTTAGCCAAATCTCATTTTGAAGAACTAATCGATGAACTAAAAGCAAAGCATTTTAGTAGATGAATCTACAGACATAGGTGTAGTAAAAAATATATGTGTATGTGTTAGGTACTTTAGTGAAAAAACAAATGAGGTAACTACACAATTTTTAAATTTGGTTCAATGTTTTTCAAATCAAAATCCAGATGAAGCAAATACAGGGGCGACTGCAGAAGTTCTTTATAAAAAATTATGGATTTATTTGAGTCTAACAATATACCTTTCCAAAATATTATAGGATTTGGTTCTGATGGTTGTAACACTATGTTTGGTGCCAATAACTCAATAGTAAGTAGGTTAAAACTAAATCTTCCTGGCAGTATAGTTCAAAAACGCATCTGCCACTCTTTACATCTTTGTGCCAGTGAGGCTTGTAAGTTTTGCCCCGTCATTGTGAAGATTTAGCCAGGAATATTTTTGGTTACTTTAAAAATAGCTCCAAACGGCAAGCACAATTTACAGAATTTCAGACATTTTGTAATGTGGAGCCTCACAAAATTTTACGTCCTTCACAAACTAGGTGGCTTTCATTACTTATGGTAGTGGAAAGGATAATAGAGCAATGGAATCCCCTTCAATTATATTTTGTTAAAGAATGGACCGAACATAGACTGCAAGCTTTAGAAGTTGTTGCCAATAGACTTAATGATATGGAAACAATTTTTTTTTCTTTTTTCTTCATTGGATTTTACCAAAATTTGTAAAATTAAACGAATACTTTCAAAGTGAGCGTGTCATAATTGCACACGGTTATGAATGTAGTTTGTGAAACTTATAAAGAAATTTGTTTAAGCTATTACAACCAAATTATTTTCATAAAACCGAAATAGATAAAAATCGATCCCAAACAATGCTAGTCAGTTCATCGACTTGAAACAGATATACCTTGGTGTTCGCGTACTTCAGAACATTGATAAATTAAGTCAAAAGGAAAAAGAAGATTTCTACATGCGGTGCGTCAATTTTAATAACTTCTGCAAATGAAATGAAAAAACGGTTTGATTTTAATGAAAATATTTTGTCAAAAAAATCAGTATTTGAAAAGGGTATTCTAAACCAAAAACCAGCATCGCTTTTTCCATTAATTAAGTTACTACCCAGAATTGTAAATCCTCAAGATATTGAACAAAGACAAAAATTGATGATCAGTGGCGGATGTATTGCCAGTAAGAAAAATTTCAGTGATGAAATAAAGGATGAAACATCAATCGATAAATACTGGTACAAAATCTCCCCAATTCCACGACATGTCTGATGTTTACGTATTTAAAGAATTGGGAAATTTTGTATTAGATTTATTAGTAATTCCTCATCCAAATGCCGCATGCGAAAGAATGTTTTCAAAAGTAAATTTAATCAAAACAGATGTCCGAAATCGCTTGTACAGTGATACAGTAAATTCACTTTTATTGGCATCTCAAAGTGTAAATCGTGAATGTTATAAGTTTAATGTTACTCAAAATATGATTAATAGAATAACGTCCTATAAACATGTCGCTCAAGATGAAAATGAAACTGTTGATATTATTTTGAACCTGAATAATGTTTTTTATGTTTTCGAGTTAGGTATATCTTGTAGTATTTTTCGAGAGTTTGTTTGATTTTCCCAAATGTTCCATTTTTTTTATGAGATTTTTACATTAAAGAACCTATATTAATTATGTGTATTTTTTGTCTTAAAGGAACACTATTTGTAACATAATTTTGAAGAAAAATTGATAATTCTGGCAAACATCGTACCATAATTCCTTTACTGGCCGGTGGCATCACTGGAACAGCTCGAAAATCTGGTGATTACCATAAACCACATCAGAGTGGTCCGACGAACAGCACGGCGGGCGGGCCGTCGAGGGCCTTTGCGCCAGGTAGAGATGGAAACGATACTTGAGAAGCGGTCGATACATTCTCTACGGATAGATCGACAGTTTTTTCACACTTTTATACTCGTCTATTTATTATTATCTTAAGGCTCAGGGTTGGAACACTTTTTTTGGCTTTGCCGTGTAAACCCAGTCAGTTAAAAGTAGCAGTGCTGCAGTGCTGCGAAAGATCGATGGTGCTCAAGTAATTGACTATTTTGGACTCAATAAAGATTGATAAATCGAATCATCAAGCAATCGATTGATTGGGAGAGCAAATGATTTATATAGATTTTATACAAGACGCAAGGAACTGCACAAGGTAGGGGCTGCTTGCCTCATATCCAAAATTTCCGGGTAAAACACCGTAGAGAGAGAAAGACTGCTTAAAAATGTAATCTCTATTCTCTGTCTGAGACAAAACTGCTCATGGAAAACACTAGAACTTGAAAAAACGATGTACATTTTTACAAGAGAAGTAAAGCAAATGCAAAAACCAGAATCATAGTCAATGTATGGGGTAAGCCCAATAGAACGTGCCACGTAGGCACTGCCCCATATTCGAATGAGTAAAATGCCAAGCAAAATCAAACACTCTAAGAGTCTCAGTCAACAATAATCACTGAATAAATAATTGAAGTGTTAATTGTGGGCAAAATGATATTTTACCTGTTCGCGTCAGGGTTTTTTTTCGCAAGGAAAAGGGGTGGCTTCCAGTAAAATCGGCTGCGAACAGCTATAAACATGGAGGAGTCCGAATAGTGGTTTTCCACTAAAAGGGAACCGATGTTGAACATACTTCTTCGGGACAAGCATTAATGCACGTGGTCAGATGGTATAAGAAAAAAAGAACTATGAAAAATGGAGTGAGTAACACATAAACCCAAACAACTGAGCGTAAGGTAGGTACGAGAATGGGTACTACGGTGCTATTCCATAACTGGTGATTGGGGCCAAATATCTCAAAATCTGGAAATCAATAAAACGACTGATACACCTCAACAGAAAAATGACTGACACAGAACACCTAAAACTTTATAAAGAAAGTTAAATGAGTGGCCTTGAAGATATGTTTCATAGGAAACCAAATGTTCTTATATAGGTTAGTACGGAGACAAACCACATAGTGGCTCTGATTGCTAATGCGCGGACCCTAGAAAACCAACTTTACGAGGAACCAACGATGTTTGATGAGGAAATTTCTGAGATAGTCATTCATAAAATATTATCAGTGTCCAAAAGACATACTGAGTCGAAGCTATGAAATTTGCCAAAAGAAAATCATTGTAAAGGGTTTGGCCTAGGAATCGGTGCTCTATTATTAATAAGAGAAATTCAAATTGCTGGTAAGTGATCAAAATAGTAAAAAAAAGAGTACGTGATTTTGGCACTTTACAACAGATAGGTTGAAAAATAATAGTACTGGTTCCCACATAGTTGTTTTAAATCGCTATACGTTTGTCTCCTCGCACTTATAGTTCTTTTCACCATTTTTGGCGCTAAGTCACAATATTTCACGAAATAAGCCAAACAGATTTGACTGTGCGGAAGCTTAAGTTCCCTAAGGAAAATTGCATGCTTGAACTCAGTGATGCAGAACTGTCGTTTTCATTTCCCTTGCAAAAATCCTCCAACATATTGAACACAAACTGTCAACCCCTGTAGTTGTAGGCAGGAATTGCTATGTTTTTATCGAAGATCAACGGTCCACAGGGTGCCTCCTAGCAACCGTGAGGCAAACTCATCCAGTCTTATGATGATTCTCATGTCGTTGCTCTTGATATCACGAAAGCGTTCGTTCAGATGTGGCATGCTGCTCTTTCATGCAAACTTCCATTATATGGCCTCCCAGAGAAGCCTTGCAAATGGGTGACTGACTTCCTCACTGTCCGCAAGATATCCGTCGTAATTGACGGGTTCTCCTCTTCACACCCCATTTTTTCACACACATATTCTCTTACTATATCTATGTATAAAAATAAATAATGATTATAATGGTCTGTCTGCTTAGTAGTACGTCATTGGAATTGTACTTTTGAATATTTAATAAGAAAATCGTGTTGGTACCAAAAATGGTTACAATACTTCCTCTCCAGTTTTGGCATTCGAAGTAAAATTCCCTATTACGTGAGAAATACCGAGTCAATTACACGACACATTTTTTGTCTGTTATGAGGTTATGCTTTGGTACTGTTGCGTCTTGTAAAACTTCGGATTTCACTGTTTTTTCACTTGAAATTTATAGAGGGTAGTCTGATAAATTATTTTACATCATAAAAGGTGTGGATGAAGCACGCGTTTCCTGAATTTTTTTCCCAAAACATTGTATTTTTCAGCAGTTATTTCCCCATTATTTCCACCGCCATCTACCATATGACGCTGACGTCTGTGGATATGTCATATATGAGAGGCGCTTGCCTGCGGTGTTGCCAGATTGGGCTCCGTATTTAGGGAAAAATATTAAAAGTGGAAAATTTAACTATACGTATTATACATTTATATTAAAGAAACACAAACACAAAAAACTGAAACAAACAACAGTAGTAAAATTAAAAGTGATTCTTACTAAGTATAAAACAAAAAATAACAAGCAGCAGTAAAATAAAATGCAATTCTAAGTGATCATGAAAAACAAAAAATTAAAACAGTAGTAAAACAAGAAAACATTCGATTTAATTATGAAAAAAACAAAAAATAACAAAATAACAAACAGTAAAATAAAAAGCAATTTGGATTTAATGAAATTGTTCTTCATTTTATTACTGTTTTTACTTTTTGTTTTGTGTTGTCACTTAGAATTGCTTTTTATTCAACATGGAATTGTTTTTTTGGTTTTACTACTTTTTATTTTACTGTCGTTTGTTATTTTTTGATTTTTATAATTACATGGAATTAGTTTTTGTTTTACTACTGTTTTTATTTTTTGTTCTTTATAATTTATCATTTTTTAGCTTACTACTGTTATCTTTTGATCTATACTTATTAGGAATCGCCTTTTATTTTGCCATTGTTGTCTGTTTCAGTTTTTCGTTTTTGTGATTCATTAACTAATATGAATATAAATTTTCCACTGTTCATATGTTTTCTTAAATGTGGAGCCCAATCCGGCAACACCGTAGGCAAGCGCTTCTCATATATGACATACGCACAGACGTCTACGTCATATTGCAGATAGATGGCGGTGAAAATAATGGAACAGCTAAAAATACAATGTTTTGGGAAAAATTTTTCATGAAAAGCGTGCTTCATCCACACTTTTTTTTGTTTCTAAATAATCTATCAGACTACCCTCTAAAAGTTTTAAGAGAAAAAACAGTCAAATCGGAAGTTCTACACCGATGCTTTGTTGCATGGAAAACTTCGGCTAAGCAACAAATAGCAAAATAATTTTTATAACAGTACCGAAAGAGTACAAGTATCGTTGATCGAGTGTTGCCTACCTATGGCACAGGGCGCTAGCGATCGGACCGGACGTACTACTTTGGAACCGCGGTACCGGCGGCGGTGTAATTGACGTCTACCACGGATATCGGTTGTCAGCGGGTGGTCCGGTGCCGGTCGAAAACGGAACAGCGCGGGGCCAAGAGAGCACCACGCGAACCTTGGGATCGAGACGGTGAATTGACTCCTAGACAGCAAAAGAATAAAAAGGTACAGATAGGTATGCTCAAATCTAGCACAAACGCATGCTATTAATGAGCAATTGCTATGGGTGTACGTACGTGTTCGTAGTCTTTGCTTTGAGCAAGATCGAGAAGAGCATGCTCTCAACAACCA